GGGTGATTTGTAGGTACAAGGGATGCCCTTTTACATTGTTCGTTTCGTGGTGTAAATGGGCTGAAGCATTTCGCATCAAAACACTGAAGGTGCATAGATGCGGACTTCATTTCAAGAACAAATACTGCATTCCAGCTGTGATTGCAAAGAAGTATCATAGGAGGATAAGAGCACATCCACAGTGGAAGCTCAAGGACATGAGAGAGACGATTAAATAAGAGATGGGATATGATGTGCATAGGATGACATGTTCACGTGCAAAGAAGATAGGGATGCACTTGACCGAAGGATGCTATAAGGACGAGTACGCACTACTGTGGACTTATGCGGAAGAACTGAAGAGAGCTAACTCGGACACAACTGTCCGTATCATGGTGAACCGAGACAATCCGGAGGGGCTGCCCAAGTTTCAGCGTGTGTATATCTGTTTCGGTACCATGAAAAAGGTTTTAAAGCTGGATGTAGGAAGATTGTCGCTTTGGATGGTTGCTTTCTTAAGGGTTTGTGCAAAGGAGAGATACTTGCTGCAGTTGGGAGGGATGCAAATGATCAAATGTACCCCATTGCATGGGCAGTGGTTGAACTTGAGTCTAGAAGTTCATGGGACTGGTTTCTAAAGGAGTTGAGGGATGATTTAGACATTGATGAAGGTGCTGGTTGGTCCTTCAGTTCAGACCAAATGAAGGTATAATGATGATTTTTTTATTGGTAACAGTTGGTTTTTGTTAGTAAAGTGTCCACAGATTATTAACACTAAATAGCATGTTTATAGGGACTAGTACATGCAATAGCCGAACTCTTCCCACACACGGAGCATCGCCTATGTGCACGACATATATACAGCAATTGGAGAAATAAATTCAAGAACCGAGCATGGCAAAAGTTGTTCTGAGCGTGTGCCAAGGCGACGTCACCAATATTCTTTGATCAAGCCTTACAGAGGGTGGCAGCTGAGAACAAGGAAGCCGCCAATGCATTGCTATTAATTGACCCAAGACACTGGTGTCGCAGATACTTCTCAACGGAGGTTAAGTGTGATTCGGTTGACAATAACATGTCCGAGTCTTTCAATTCCTCCATCTTAGAAGCTAGATTTAAAGCCACATACAACATGCTGGATGAACTCTGTGTTATAGTTGTAGAGATGGTCGCGACAAAGATGTCCTTGGGAGAAAAGTGGGAGGGTCTATATTGCCCAAAGATCATGTAGAAGTTCAATGCGCATTATGCAGAAGCTGATTTTTGCCATATATTATCAAATGGCCAGCATGGGTACGAGGTGAGGCATAAGGAGGAAAGATTCACAGTGCATCTTTCGCAACACACCTGTTCCTGTAGAACTTGGCAATTGTCAGGGATTTCGTGCCCTCATGCTATTGCATGCTTGGTCTATGAAGATAAAGACCATGTCTTGTACATTTCTGATTGCTTCTCAACTGAAAACTTCCGGAATACATACAAGCATGTGTTACATCCAATGGATGATCCAAAATCATGGGTGCGAAGCGAGTATGAGCCCATACTCCCTCCAGATTTCATAGTTATGTCGGGGAGATCAAAGAAAAAGAGAGTGAGAAGTGTTGAAGAAAATGAGGATCGACAAAGACAAAAGAAGAAAAAGGCTTACACTTCTCAAGAGTTTATGGCACCCGACAAGAACGATCCTTCAAAACTAGGTAAGACCGGGAGATTAATGATATGCAAGAGGTGTAAAACCGAGGGACACAACTCTCGCACTTGCAAAGTTGAGATTCCCACAGAGGTTAGTACTACACCTTCTATTTCCTTTATAGAATTAGATTGTTTGCATATTGTATATAATTGAATTCTTCTTGTTAGGGTAACATTAGGGGAGCCAATAACTCAAATCAATTGCAAACACGTGTTGGTACATCTGTAGCTGGGCAGGTGAGACATTTATGATTCTACTAGGGTGATTTCAATGATGCATGATCAGCAACTTAGCAAATTGTTTCATTATAGGGAAGAATACCAGCTAAGAAGAAGAAAAGCCCCTTTGTAGGGGTTGGTGTGCATCACGTTGAAAATGGTTTAAATGGTTTCATGGTGCTTGATGTATTTACTACACATGCCTTCTATACATTAGTGTTTTATTCTTTTGATTCTTCCTTATGATTTTCATTATCATCTACAGCCGGGGCTGAGAACTATAAGGGTGATTGAAGTCCCTCGGAAGCCAAGAAGCAGACATGGAGGACATGGAAGTGGTGAAGGTACAAGGCCACAGCAGAATGATCGTGAAGCTGGAGTGAGTTCAAGGCAAGATGGACGAGGTGGATGCAGCACTCAAGAGAGCACGACTACTTTTCGTTAGATTTAATACTTGATGTAGTAGTCGATAGTTAGTAGTGCATCTTGAACCTAGATTTTGGTATTATGTGTACTGCATGCAGCAGACATGAACTTTAAGCTACCTATTTTGGTATTATGAGTAGTGAAGACATCAGACATGAACCTAGATTTTGCACCCCATATGACAATATTATTGATGGATTATGTTTATTTCATAAGCATTTTTCACAACCTATTGTTTTCTGGATTTTTTTGTACTCTGTGACACAATTATTGACTAAAGAAGGAACCCCTTAATATCCATTACACAGAAAGTGATTACAAAGATAGGAAAAATGCATCTGCATCCATTCTACATCAGCCACTAACTATGACTGCAATGAATAACAAGCAAATTAAAACCAACAAACTCACAATCACAATATACAACATATGCAGCTTCTTCACAGAGGTCACGCCATTCATTTGCCGCATAATCTCAGTGTGTTCTTCCACTAAGATTTTGCTTCTTGTACGTAGAATTCTCTTTCAGCTTCAACTTCTTTCACTCTTTCTCGAAGAGAAACAATCAGTCCTTTGTAATGTGGAATGTTCAATTCAGGGTCTTGAAACCTGAAAAACTTACAGCCTCCTTCTTCCAAACTCTTCCTACAACGGTAAAACCTTCTCCCCGGATTCATTTTAGTCCATGAATGCAACCTGATAGCTCTCACTCCACACCAGCAAAACACATATGCATTGTCGATCTAGTGCTACCAAATGATGATTGTTGAGAAGATGACATGACCTACAGTTCAATCAATTAGACGACAATTGAATTCACCTAAACAAAGTATCACCATAACAAGTCTGGTGGCAATTGAAATCAACCCAAGCCATTACAAAAAGACTACATTCTGTAGTGCTACTAAACTGCTACTCTCCCCTCTACCTGCTGCTACCGTTCTACTTCATTCTACAGAGCTACTATGGTTCGAAAGAGTCCATTGATTCAAGTCTTCTGCTGCTGTTCTACTTCATCGAGTCCATTGATTCAATTCAATCAGAACATATCATGTACTCTTAGGGTTCGAAAGAGTTTCAAAAAAAAAAAAAAATCAGAGGCGAGAATCAGGAAAGGAAGATGTACCTCTTGGATTGTTGGACTATTGCTTGTGATGGACTCGATGACATATTGTAGGAGCAGCAATTGGAACGAGGATGCTGATTGGCTGGCTCGGTCTCTGCACGGGCGGAGGGAGACGGCTGTCCAAGAGGGCTTACTTCTGTTCCGACGGAAGGAAGGAGAAGGCTTGCTCGAGGGTTCGCTCGCCGTCGTCGGAAGACTCGAGGGTTGGTTCATCGGCAGTCTCTCTCGTCGACGAGAGAGGTATTTCTTTTAGAAGTGGAAGAATCGATGGGGAAGGAATGGGGACTGGGGGTAGTTGGGTAATTTCTAGCCCTCTTTAACGGCGAGTAAACAGAAATTCCAACGGAAGGGCAGGTTCGTTACGACGTAATAGTAGAAGGGCAACTTTGTGCAAAAAAAAGTACATGGGCACGTTTGTTACATCGCCGTAGTACAGGGGCAGAAAATGCTATTAACCCTTTATTCTTTTTCAGAATATAAAAACACGTGGTGACATTTTGTTAAAATTTGTACTAGTCCGATATTTTTTTATTTATGAATTATTTATTTTAATTTGGTTTTTTTTAAGAGGACACCACTGTTAAAAACTTCTAGATCCGCCACTGGACATAGTTGATAGTTCTACTCAGGGCTACGTCTAAGAGTTTCCTACCGAAACCTTACAAACCCCTATCCAGTTCACAGATCAAACCAAGAATTGATGCATTAATATAGATGAGAATCATAGACACAATTACAACAATGAGAACAAACACCACACATGCCACAACCTATAATAATCCAAGGACACGAGTTCTTCTCTCTATGGCTTTCCTCTAGATACTAGCTGTTGCATGTCAGGGAAACAATATGGAGAAAACGGATTGAAGGCGTGATTTGGATCACTCTCTTGAGAGCGTTTATTTGCCCCCACTACTTAGTTGCTGGTAGGATTTAGGCAAGCCACCCCCCCAGGAGTCCCTCCAATCAAAGTCAGAAAGCAGCACCTTTCGTGATTTCTGTGTTTGTGTTTTTTGAGAAGGAAAAAAGAGGAGAAGAAGATGAACGTTGGACAAGAACATCGGCTGCAGAAGACTTTTTATAGTGAAAACGACAGTTCCCTTCCGAAGGGCTACATCGTTTCACAAAAGTCAAAATCAAATAATTATCCAGATTAATTAATTAAAATAATTCCGGTAATTAATTAGCCAAAAATTCAAATCCGAACACGTTGTGCAAACACGTCAAATTAAATAGTCCACACTTTCCAAAAGCCCACTAACCACTTTATCCAATAACTAAAGTGGAAAACAAACTTAAAAACAACTTGCACTTTCCTTCTCCCACCAATGTGATATTTCCTTTACTCTTTGACTACGCTAACATTGCATTCATATTTGTCTTTGTAAATAGCTTCTCCAAAGCTCTTTCAGCCTCTACTCTCCTTTGTCTCAAGTCTCTCGAGAAGATTAAGTCAAAGTCTGGTGTTGTTTTGCAGAATTCATATGTCTTAAGTTATTTTTTTATTTGATAACCAAGAGAACCTCAGCCCCACGTGTCGCTTGAGCGACAACGGAGCCTACTAAATTTCCGGGGGTACCTGCATACTAACCGGGACTTTCTGCTACCAACATCGGAGAGGCTTCGCCTCCGATACCAAGGGTCATGTCTAAGTTATGACCTTATGTACATGGGAGTTGGAGGCAGTCAAATGAAACCAGAGGAGCTGAAAAATCGAAATAGAGAAAGTTTAAAAAGCGCTGGTGGAAGGTTCTACCCAGTCCGAGTAAAATGAACGTTCGGAAAAGTCGTCCAGTGACTCTCTTCATTTCGGTATCTTGGTCACCCTTCTGCTCATCAACTTAGTCATCAACAAATTCATCATCCATGGCGCCTCCTTCACCTTAAATACTCCGACAAAGATTCATCCTTTTCGTTTCGTCTAATCCCCCATTAATGCAAATAAAACCCGCCATTTATTCCCTGACGCCGCCAAAAAATGATCTCTAGCTTAGTCGCCAATCTCGGTACAATCGCCGCCAAGTACCAACGCAAACGCCTCCTCCAAACCCTAACCCATCAACAACAGCAAAACCCTCCAACTCCGTCGCCGAACCCATTTGGAATCACTTCCCGTCCGTCGTCGGAATCGCCTGCAGGAAGCAACCCGTCTTTCGTCAATGGCGTAGCCACCAAGGATCTCCACATCGACCCACTGTCCTCACTCTCCATCCGGATCTTCCTTCCAGACACCGTCGTCTCCGCCGGATCCGGGATCTGCCCACGTTACGGCGGGTACTTGCCTCCTTCCGGGAAGCAGCGACGGCTGCTGAGGAAGCTCCCAGTGGTGTTGCAGTTCCACGGCGGCGGGTTTGTGAGCGGGAGCAACGAGTCAGCCGAGAACGATTTGTTCTGCCGGCGGGTGGCGAAGGCTTGGGATTCATTGGTCGTGGCAGTGGGCTACAGATTGGCCCCCGAGAGTAAGTACCCTGCCGCTTATGAGGATGGAGTGAAGGTTTTGAATTGGTTTGTGAAGCAGTCCAATTTGGGCGTTTATGGCGGATTAGGAGTTCAGAGTGGCAATTTCGATAGCTTTGGCGTTTCCATGGTTGAGCCTTGGTTAGCTGCTCATGGCGATCCTTCTAGGTAACGAACTACTTATTAGATTTGTCACAATTTGAAATTAGAAAAATGCTGTAGATCTCCAATTTTATTGAATTCATTTGCCTGATTTTGGTACTGTCATCAGAGCAGGTGTGTGCTCCTTGGGGTAAGTTCAGGGGCAAACATAGCTAACTATGTTGCTGAAAAGGCGGTGGAGGAAGGAAATCTACTGAATCCTGTGAAGATAGTGGCACAAGTTCTGATGTACCCTTTCTTCATGGGAACCACCGTGCCATCACATTGTGAAGTTAACTACACAACCTCGTACTTCTACAGCAAGTCGATGTATAAGATGGCATGGAAGCTGTTCCTTCCAGAGGTGGGAGCGTTTGACGACCTAGATCATCATCCAGCTGCCAATCCTCTTGTTCCTGGAAAACATCCGCCTCTAAAGCACATGCCACCAACATTAACTATAATTGCAGAGCATGATTTCATGAGGGAGAGGGCAATTGCTTACTCGGAGGAGCTACGGAGAGTCAATGTGGATGCACCGTTACTTGAGTATAAGAACGTCGGTCATGAATTTGCCACCCTTGGCTGGCTTCTCCAGACGCCACAAGCACAGGCTTGTGCGGAGGATATCGGGATATGGGTCAAAAAGTACATATCGGTTCGTGGCAACGAGCTGTCTTATTGAGAAACAACAAGAGAGATGAGATGGCTGATACAAATCCTGAAGAAAAGAAAGTGAGAATTAGCTAATAGAGGGATGATCATTCATTGGTTGTGCCACAAGTTAGAAAGAGAAAGGATTCGGCAGCCGATCATTTAGGTTTGATTGGACGAGCGGGGAAGAGCCTGATTCCCTTCTGGTTATCCCATCTGCTTGTAATGTATAGGTTGGAGAAAGTCTTATCCTTTGTTTCCCCTTGTATAGTGAACGAGCAGTTTTCTTCAAACTCCTTGAATTCTGAGATGGACGGTTTTGCTAATTTGTTGTGTGTATTATATTATATTCGGGGAGACCCAATGGATTAGTGTTCTTTCTCACCTTGTTCTGATGTGGCTATTCTGTCTTTTATCGACTAAACAAAGTTCAGCAATTTCTATGCAGAGCTACTTCAATTCCGGCTTGCTCATGGAACTTGAGAGGAGAATTTGAATGGTCCAAAACTACTTTCCTTGTTCCAGAGATGGCGGTCAAACAAAAACAATGCCTACCCGAACGGCACGACTCAATATGCCTTCTTCAGAATATTTGAATCATTCGTTCAACCTCCCAGGTAACTTCGCCAGCTTAGCATTAGCTATTAGCTTGCAGAAACCATAGTACTCTAGGCGAAGACTGCATATGTAGTGTTAGCTAGTTGCTGCAAATTTAATTTGACATGCTCGTCCTGACTTGTTGTGGATCTGTTTATGACGGGTAGGACGGGGCATATATGAATTTCTTTCACCTCCCTTAACCTGTAGCTCAAACCAATTAATCCACCTGACCTGCATCCTGTCATAAGGTTGATATGGGGATTGAGATATCTGCGCTGCCCTAACCTATCACCATTCCTGGGCTCATTTTCTGCTCTGGGTTTTTATGGATGAAACAAGATTTGCTGATATTTGTGTAACCGAATCAACAGGCAGTTTCTGGAATGCCTGGAAAGTTAATAAATTTACCAATTTCTTTTTATCCTTTTCTTTCGTTTTCTCCGTGGTTACCGAACATGGGTGAAGAAGGGATGTATAGTATTAGTACTTTTCTGATAAAACCTAAGAGAGTGTTGGAAAATGACTGGAATTCTATTCCTGTATGGTATATTATACCAGTATTATTACATCCACCTCGTAGATTGCATGCTCAGGACAAAACTTAGTGTCCCCCGCCACCAGATGATCATCACATCCAGTGGCCTTTGATAATAACATTTAGCTGATAATAAAATGTGGAAATATCAGATCAAACTCAAGGAGGGCAGGAGGGGAGTTTGAATTAATTAATCTACTTTTAGTATTATGTTAATCATTTCATTACCTCTTCTTGCCGGAAACATGAGAAGTATGACAGATCATGTCTTTGTGAAAGGTACAGTCGGATGCTGATAAAACCTACACAGCTGGATTAGAAACTGACAGCTTTGAGAGGATGGGGAAGTGTTAGGGAAATTTCCCCCTCATTATTCCATGAGGAGTTGATGGTGACAACAGGTATCCTTAGATTGATCTATGCGAAAATAGCACCCTATGCCTGCTTGTACCATGACAACCATTGTTGTCCCCCTTGTAAAGTAGTTTTCACCCTGTATTCTCATGTTTAGTCCCTCAACTGTGCTGTTCTTAACAAATAGGATCACTAAATACTATATCGTCTCATCTAGTTTGTTCGTTAAACATTCTGTCATATTCAGCTATCAATGGATTGGAAAGATGGTTAGTAAGCACGTTCTTCATAAATCACATGTAATGGTGAATTCATAATTCTGATAGAGAGGGAAAGAGTCGGGGAGTTTCCAGGAGAAAAAATGAATTTACATCATACATAACATGTAAGTCATCATCTTCCTTGTTTGCTAAGCATGGATTACCCCACACTAATAACATATTTGGATTGAATTTTTAACGTGCCGGCTAAAAGGTGATAAACAATATAATACAGTGATGTATTTATTTGGAAATCATAATACGTTAATGTGTTTGCTAAAATGTCCCATTAATCCATTTTTATAATATTCCTCAACATTGCAGTTCTCGCCGGCAACAAGAATCAAAAAAATCTCCAGGAGATGGGGGTAATAGTGAAAGTCTATATATTAGAAGCACTCAAGCCTAACTTCCGGGAGGTTCAGGAAAAAAGAAACCAGGAGTACTATTACTGTGTTCGATATTTTCCAAGGAGAGGAAAAACCCAGGAAATGGTTGCTGCAGATCCTTACATATCATCTAACTTCCATAGCAATGGAGGAGGCAGTGGAGGTATCGATTCAAGCGATCTCGATCTTAATCTCTGTCAATTCCCATGCTATCCAGCATTCCCGGAGAAACGTGGGCCGGATTACAGCTTAGACCAGCCAAGAACTCAGAAGAAGCTGAAACAGCAAACTGATGATAGTGGGTCCCCTACTGACACCAGCTCTGGCGGGTTCTATGAGGCTAACAGCAGCAGCAACAGTAGCTTCAACAGCTTGCCAAAGCTCCAGTTTCGAGACTATGTATGGGCGTATGCGGAGAGGTTCCTGGCCATCGAGGCCATGGAGGAAGCTGCTGCAATGACTTTGGCAGTGGAAGAAGAAGAAGAGAAAGTTGAGGTTAAAGAAGAGCCAGGTGTCGACGGGATGAAGCTGGTCCAGCAGCTGATCGCCTGCGCGGAAGCAGTCGCATGTCGCGACAAGGCTCACGCATCGGCGCTGCTCTCTGAGCTGCGAGCCAATGCGCTGGTATTCGGGACTTCGTTTCAGCGCGTGGCATCCTGTTTCGTCCAAGGGCTGTCCGACCGCCTTACACTGGTCCAGCCCCTAGGGACCCATGGGGTCCTCAGTTCAGCACCTGCTAGAGCCTTGGCCTCATCCTTTTCAGCCGAAAAGGATGAGGCTTTGACGCTGGCCTACGAGCTTTGCCCGCAGATCCAGTTCGGACATTTCGTGGCAAACACATCAATCCTCGAAGCCCTTGAGGGAGAGAGTTCAATTCACGTTGTGGACCTTGGGATGACACTAGGCCTCCCTTGCGGTCAGCAATGGCAGAATCTGATGCACAGCATAGCTGGACGCATCAGAAAGTCGTCGGTTCCACGCCTACGAATCACAGGCGTGGGGCCTGAAGCCGATCGCCTGCAGGCAATCGGAGTCGAGCTCAGTTGCTATGCTGCCAACCTGGGTTTGAATTTTGAGTTCATGTATATCAGGAGCAGTTTAGAGAGTCTGAAGCCCGAAGATTTTGACGTCCAGGAAGGGGAAGCCGTGGTGATCAATAGCGTCCTCCAGATGCATTGCGTGGTGAAGGAGAGCCGTGGCGCTCTGAACTCGGTCCTTCAGGTCCTGAATGAGCTGTCGCCCAAGGCATTTGTCCTGGTCGAGCAGGACTCGAATCACAACGGCCCCTTCTTCCTGGGGAGGTTCATGGAATCACTGCATTACTACTCGGCCATCTTCGATTCGCTGGACTCGATGCTGCCCAGGTATGACACCAGGAGGGCGAAGATCGAGCAATTTTACTTTGCGGATGAGATCAAGAACATTGTGAGCTGCGAGGGGCCGGCTAGGGTCGAAAGACATGAGAGGTCAGATCAGTGGCGCAGAAGGATGAGCAGGGCCGGGTTCCAGGCTTCGCCGTTGAAGATGTTGGCGCAGGCTAAGCAGTGGCTTGGCAAGGCCAAGTTCTGTGATGGGTATACTGTGGTCGAGGAGAAAGGTTGCTTGGTTCTTGGATGGCAATCAAGACCCATCATCGCAGCTTCTTGCTGGAGGTGTTCCAAGATTTAAAAGAAAAGTACAGGTTCTGTTAATGGATTTCAAATAAACTTCCACCAAAGATTCTGATCAGAATCCCCCCACTCTGCAATTTGTTTACTTTGTGAAATAAGGGTTTTTGCTGTTTTCTTATTCCTGATGAACCAGGGAATCTTAAAGCTTCGGCCTTTTCCCTGGAAATAACTGTCTCGATTTTCTCTGTTCATGTTTCCTTTGTGTTATCACTGTTTCTGTTTAGCCAACTCGCCACTGAAAGAAGCAATCCCCTGGTGAAAAAAGAGAAATCTTTTCAATTGGCCTTGGGATTATCAGGAACTATGCGTTGCTATTTGATTAATGAAATGAAGCTATCAACTTAAAATTGTCCAATTTTTGCAGCTGCAAGACATGTTTAAACTGGAGGCTAGAGTAGCTGCCACGTGTATGGTAGATACATAGATTCCCTATTCTGCTCCTTGTATGGATAAGATCGCTTGTACTCTGTTTGAGCAAGAACCAAGTTCGATTAGAAATGGAAGTGGGTATGTCACTAAATGCACTGATGAGGCTGCCATTATCGAGTTCGTCGAGAACTCTGGAAGATGGATTGGTCAAGCACTCGTTATTCTCAGCTGAGTTGCAGGGTGACGCGACGTGGGAGTTCTTTATTAGTAGTTGAAGCTAAGGGGAAGAGAGGGATGGTAAATCGCCAGTTTCAGCAGAGACCTCCTCCATTGCCGAAGGTTGAAGATGATGGGAATCCCAAGTTCGTCATCTTCATCCGCATGGCCAATGTAATGTTTTCCCCCCTTTTGGACTCTCTTCCCTCTTTTGCAAGCTGTAAACAGTTCATTACTTTACTCTGTAGATGAATAGAGTTTCCTTGGTAGCTCTGTTCAATCTGAATTTCATCAGTTCGTATCATAATGCTTATGGAATGGGATTTGATCTTAATTACGGATCCGTGTAGATCATGATCCGAAGAACAGTAACATGTTAGAGTGGACTCAAGAACATTGTGCAATCTCAACAGTAACATGTAAGAGTAGATCATGATCCGAAGAGTAGTAACATGATTACGGAATGAGATTTGAATGAGACATGCCCACGCTTTGTTGAATCCTGTAAATCTCATATTTATTGTGATTGCTCTTTTTCTTTTGCTTGTTCCTTCTTGTATTTGATTCCAGAATCCAATCCGGCCTCCCATCCTGCTGTTATACGTGATTGCAGTTCGAGTTCTGCTGACCGTCCGATTCTGTAAAGTTAGGACTTAGAAATGGATGGTGTTTCTAATCATGTCCTGCTTTCTTTGGATGGAAATTCGTCTAGATTGCATTAGGTAATTTTACCTACAACGCTGAGTAATTATACTGAGACTGTTGTTTACTTATTCCCCCAGGTTTACATATGGTACCCGCTTAGTCTAATAACAGGTGGTACAACAGCTAAAATCATGGTTGCTGCTAAGGACAACTTTCTGGGCAAGTACATATCCAAAGACACACTTGCTCGAAACCTTGCCGCGGTAATCTATAGAGTAAGTTGGTTGGTAGAATCTTCTTGTCTTGGAACTTGCTGAAAGAAGCTTGCATTTCTCACATGAAAAAGATGAAGTATTATAATAATATGATTTTCATTGTGTTGTGTTTGGTTTTCTTAGTAATAATTAGTCTCTGAATTAGCCAGCATAGCAGTTTCATGCTTTGTTTTCTCCTTCCAATTTGATCTCACTTTGGAACCACACTGAAAACAAAGTTGTTGTCTTTCGCATCATTTGATCTGTACTAAGTTTGGATCCAAACAATGAATGCCATTAGTTTGACATGTTTTGGCCAAAAGCATATAGACAAATGATTAGCATCCACTTCTGCCGTCTCCCACAATATCTTCTCATCCTTGTGTTGTTCCATTTCCAACATTGGATAAGATTATTGGTTGAGAACGGCTGGTTCTTGTTTTCTGATGGGCAAATTTTGTGTCCAATATTAGGATGAGAAGGAAACACAGAAGACTGCAATCAAGCAACATCGTGTGTTACGATCAGCAACCGAGTTCAGATATGGTTACAAGCTCATTGTAATGACGCCCTTCCTTACCATCCATAGCACCACGAAACCGTTTCATATTCTTCATTCAACTCATCTTTTTACTTTATGGCATGATGCAGGAGAATGGCAATGTAAGAGCTGGTCTGGCGACGAATGATGTCATTGAGGTAGGACTCTAAATTATACTCTTGGATCTAGAAAACTCGTCTTAATTCTTCATGGATAATGATCCTTGGGCTTCTGTGATATGCTGTTTATTTAAATCATGAATTTCCAGAGCTTCCGACGCAAGACAAACTGAAGACAGTGGTTGACAAAGTGAAAGACTTCTTTGGGGATGCGAAGGAATCCTTCGGGAAGCTTAACGCTAAATTCGACTAGAGACGAGGAGGCGCAACAAGAAGTTACAAAGGGAGACGAGAAAGCAAAGTGAGTCTGTACTTTCATCCATTGATTTTCACATTGGGAATTCCACAAAGTTCTCTAACTTGGTAACTTCCGGATTGTGCAGAGATAAAGGCTGAAAACCCAGAGAGAAAGTTGCAAGCTTTACAGTTGATCGGTAGCCCATTGGTTCCTCCAGATTGAAAAGAGGTTTTTAAGCAAGAGATCTGTAGTTGCCATGGTGAGGTTATTAAATGTACAGCATTGCCTTGCTCCATGATTTTGGCCATTGCATGTCTATACCTTGTCAATTTGTCACCCATTTCAATCTATGTATATCTGTCTAGCATGTTCTTTCACATGTAGCATGGAATGGAATTGAAACATTTACTGATTTTTTCAGAATCTCTTCATTAGCCTAGTGTTTAACATTATACTCCAATACCGAATTTTAATGATTCACAATCGAGCATTAACCTAGCATAACCTGACATAGGTCCCCAAAGATGAGACCCTTTCCACAGACCTTACCTCAAGTACATTTCTCTTGAACTCGTAGCCCGCCCTCGACGTTGGCACAAGAATGAGCTTAGTCTTCTTCCATGTAGGGTGTGCTTATACTTGCATTGAGATTTTGAGACTAGTCGAACCACGAAAGGAAAGTGTTTGGTTTCATATTGGGGTTCTCCCATCCTTTTACACTTCACACCTCTAAGTTCCCTCACGTTGTTCTCTGCTAGGTGAAGTCCACAAAATATGGAATCTCTGCCATTTTCGATTGCATTAGGATCTCGCTCCTCCACCTCCATGGTTAGCCGCCAAAAGTGTTGTCGCTCAGCATAACAAGGTCAGCGAATTGATTTTGGTTTTGCGGGGTTTTGGTTGTCCAAAGTCTGCCAAAAGACATGCAACTGCAGTGTGTAGAACTGATGACCGACTTCCCTAGCCTCGACGAGCTTACAAGCACAGAAGAGATCATGTGTAATCAATTCCAGGCTGGGCTAGGCGGCAGATGAAAATGAGAAAATTGCCATCGCTTGTTTCTTGGTTGAACCCAATTCTCCAAATTGGCAAGTCCAGTCCAAACTTTATCCTACATTTCTGGATAATTCCAGAAAGCACCAAAACTCTGTCCCTACACTACCACTGCCGATCACCATCCATATTACAGACACAGAAATTTCTAGTATTTTTTTTCTTCTTCTTCTTCATTTCTAGAAATGTCCATTCCTCCATTTATATAGCACTACTCTACTTCCGACTCCTACCATCGCTAGAACAATAACCAACTCCTGTAAAAGCTGTTGACTTTGTCATAAAGTTCTGATCTTTTTGGGTTAACGAAGACTCTCATCATCCATCTTTCAGAAAATGTCTCAAGTCCTGTCAAATTTGGGCCTTTCCTTGCCTTCGTCATCTAAATCATGCTGCAACTCCTTGCTGAACCTGAAATCCTCTTGCAGCTTATCTTCCCCGGTGAAACCCTCCAGCAGCTTCAGCATCAAAGCCATGGCGCTAGATGGCAGGGGAAACCTTGACCATTTGCAGAGGATCAACAACAACAATAAGCAGCAGCAGCAGGCGCCACAACCCAGAAGGAAAATAGTTCCTTCTGCTCCGGTAGGTAGGTCAAAACTTCCTTTCTCCATGCCCAAATCCCAATGACCACATGCTGAAACGAATCCATAAGATACATGAAGCAGAAGTTACCGACATTATTAATTGCTTGACATTTTGCAGGGATGTGGGACAGATTCCCAACGGCGAGAACCGTGCAACAGATGATGGACACAATGGAGAGGCTAGTGGAAGACCCGTTGCTATTAGCCTATTCACCGCAATTGTCAATGGAGGATCCAAGAGGAGGCTACAGCAGGGGGAGGACGCCATGGGAGATCAAGGAAGGTGAGAATGAGTACAAAATGAGGTTCGACATGCCCGGAATGACCAAATCTGATGTCAGATTGTGGGTTGAAGACAAGATGTTGGTTGTCAAGGCTGAGAAATCCGCAGCCAATAAGGATGGGGAGGTGGTAGAGGGAGCTGATAGTAGTGACTGGTCTGCTAAGAGTTACGGGAAGTACAGCAGTAGGATTGCTTTGCCAGAGAATGTTGAGTTTGAGAAGATTAAAGCTGAGGTTAAGGATGGGGTGTTGTACATCAGTATCCCCAAAGCTAGCCCCGCTTCCAAAATTCTTGATATCAATGTTGAGTGATTTTTTTCTTCTTCTTTTGGACGGATGGTTTGTACAAGAGTTTATTGAAAGTCTAATTAACTCCTATGCTTAACATTCTTGTCAATTGTTTAAGTATTTAATATCGTGGTCTGAATTAACCCTATAGATTGTTAATTTGACTAAAGCAGAGAGTTGATCGTTAGTTTCGACAATCAAGGTTGTTAATTAATGGTCAACTCGTCATATCGCTATTCAGTCAACATAAATAAACTTAAGAAATTCATAAGTTCCATATAATCCCTAAAAATTATTCTAATACGTTTTCAGATATATTTTTGTGGGTTAGATTAATTATTTTTTAATAAAAATGGGTTTAATGCACTACTAAACAGACGACAAAGCCGATATAGATATAGCACATAAAAGCACCCACAATATCAAAATCAAATTGACTGATAAAATAAGTAACAGGGTTGGGCTTAGCATACAGTGTATAATAATGGGTTATGCAACTGTGGGTTGTGCATAATTATGAGCTATACAACTAGGGGTGTTCAAACGGATTGGTTACCGTGGTAATAATATTAACCGGTAGCATTAGGTTAATTTGGTTTGGTTAAGTTGGATAATTGGTTTGGTTTGGTTAAACAATTTAGCTTCTTTGGTTTAGGTGGTTTGGTTTCAAACACTACTAACCAATGAAATCAATTAACCAATTAATGATACACCTAATATACAAAATTATTTATACTTCCATGCAACCAACCAAACCAAACTTTCGTGATTCTCTATTTTATTTCCATGTGCACAACAAACCAAAGCATTATGGGTAAAAAATTAAATGGGTTGCCTATTTACTAAACCAAAACATTTTGGACAGCTACTAGACTTTAGGATTACGTAAAATACCATGACAGTCAACTCAAACTATCTATAGTTTAAGTGTTTTGTAGGGGAGCTTTAACTTCCTGATGAGTGGTATTGGTATGTATTTAATATTTATGTTAAGGATTTGTTGTAAGCTAACTATATTTGGTGCAGAGATGATGAATGGTGTATTAACTCGAATGATGATGATAATCATGGATGGTTAGTCTTATTATTATTGCTTATATATAATGATAGTTTATGTTTTTTTTTTTACAATTAATGATAGTTTATGATAGTAATAACATATGGTTATGTTTTATTCATTAATATGATAATTATTTGGTTAATCCGATTATCCAATTAACCAAACCAATTAAACTTTGGTTTGGTTAATTTGGTTTTCGTGTTAATTTGGACGGTTTGGTTAAGAAATTTTATTCCATGGTTAATGAAATTTAGGCTTAATTGGTTTGGTTATTACCACGGTAACTAGGGGTGGGCAAACGGTTCGGTAAATCCGAACCGAACCAAAACCGAATTAAACCGAACCGAAACCAAATTAATGCTATTCGGTTCGGAATTCGGAAGGAAAATATAGATAGTTCGGAAACCAGGGTTCTTTCAACCGAACCGAATTTCCGAATTTCCGACCGAAAAACCGAAATACTATAATTGCAAGCTCCAAATGGTGGATTTTTATGTTTTAGTTGTTTTTAGACTTAAATATTTGAAATGTTTTATGACTTATGTGTTGAAAAGTTTGATTTTATCATTGATGATGCATATAATTGATATTTATTGTTTATATTAGGGGTGAAAAATAATTTAAAAGTGATAAAATACAAGTAGCTTCACAAATTCGGTTTTGGGTGAAAACCCAAACCGAACCGAATTATATTTCGGTTCGAATTTGGTTTGAGGTTTGAGAGAACTCGGGGACCCGGTATTCATAATTTCGGATCGGTCGAAACCAAACCGACCGAATGCCCACCCCTAACGGTAACCATTTGAACACCCCTATGTGCAACCGTCGGTAACTTAATTGAAGTCATTTTATATGTGGCAGAGCCATCCTGTGGTTGGGGTTGATGTGAGGTGAGAAGGAGTATTTTTGTCTTGCATATACTGATATTGAACAATATTTTAGGGAATGGAATTGATATTGAACAAAATTTTAGGGACTGAGATTGAGATAACAAATTTATGATTGAGATTGGGATTTAGTTTAGTATACATTTTGGTAGTCGAATTTCAGTAAATGGTATTGAAATACCGATACCTTACCGGTTTCCACCTCTACTAGTACCCCTAGGGGTGATAAACGGTTAGTCGTTTTAACCGATAACCAACCCGATAAAGTCATTTAGTGGTTAACTGATAATCACTAATTTCTTATTGGTTTCGGTTAGTAGTATTTTGCTTAGTGGTTAACCGCTAACCGACTAATCGATTAGTTGTTAACCGATAAGAAAATCGATAACCGCCTACTAGTGTGACTACATGGTTTTGGACTTTGGCTAAGGAAAAAAGTTCTAAAATTCAAAACCAATCAAGGTCGCAATTCCAAATATCCCAATTCTCACTTATTGCAAACAACCCTCCATCAAGAGTCTCAAATGTTTTTAAGAGTTAGAACTCGAAAGTTACCCCTCTCTAACTCCCATTTGCACTCGACATAGGGAACCTTAGGTTGATGACTATAGGTTAGATGAAGATCTTGGAGTAAATGATGACTATGGGCTAGATGAATTGGAGCGAGATCCTCGAATCATTTAGGTTGATGATTTGGAGATGATGAACTTGTTATTTGTGTCTAGTTGTGATTGTGACTTGTGGTTGAATTGTGGGCATGTAGACTTTATGTTGTGGAGTTGTGGCTGAATTGTATTGTTGCTTTAGACTTTATGTTCAATTGATTTAGACAACTTTATGTTGTGTGATTTTAGAGGCTGAAACAAAAGCAGGTCACTCAAAATTGGGGTTGAATCATTCAAAAAGGTGGTTGAAATTCGGTTTCTGTCCGAAAATCGAGAAAGTGAACCAGAACCTGCTGTTTTTGGTTAACCGAAGTCTCTGTCGGTTTCGGTTAGCGGCCTTGGGACAATTTCGGTTGCGGTTAACCGATATTTCGGTGCGGTTAAACTGAAACCGTACCGACTAACACCCCTAAGTGCCACGTTCTTTTTTTACTCGAAATTTTGAAAAACAAATTCCATAAGGAAAGAGTTGGTCATGATTTATTGGATATAAAACAAATTGGAAAAAATTGAGGACCATATATACAACCCAGGTACTAGCTTCGCTTTTGACTCGAAATTGGAAAAATTTTGCTAAGAAAAAAGAGTTCATCGTGATTTATTGGATCTCAAATTTCTGGGGGGAATTTTCAAGACCAAATATACCTCCTTGGTATAGGATGCTAATTGGTGGTAGACGATGATGAAATGTGGTAAATAACAGCTAGTATATACCTAGTGTTGTGTATACGAGTATACGGTCATCCTATACTACGGTATATTCATACCACTATAGTACACTTTAATATCACGTGGTATAATCTTATATTCATACCAAGTGGTACCACATGGTATGGACTGGTAATAAAAGTCTCAATTATTTTGCAAATGAATATGATTTTTCAGTGCAAGAATTAATTTGGACCTAAAATGAAAGAGAAATAAATCGTTAAAATTAAATGAGGATATAGTTAGATACCTACCATAAATGGTAAATGCAAGGTTGTCAGATATGCTTTTTTGAATTGTAAGAAGGACACCTAGTTTACCGTTTTGTCCCTTCGTGTATTATTATCCTCCATCTAATGGTTACAATTTAATGCAATTGACGACGGATTGAGGGATTATGAACCGTGTCATAACTGGGGAGCTCAATTAGTACGATATTGTTAGAATATGACTTGAATTTGATTTGGGCTTGTTTGGTGTTTTGGGCCTATTCCGTTTGGGTTTGGGATTGGGTTTTGTTTTGACCTTTTTCCTTGTATGTTTGGGAAAAGGTATTTGGTTTTCTGTTTGGGATTAGGAGAAGAGTTCTATAAATACTCTTCATCTCCCTAATCTGTAGTATTCCCCCCTGCCCGTGGATTAGCTAGCACACATTATGTTAGTGAACCACGTTAAATTTGTGTTCGTTCGTGTTGGTTTGGATTATCGATTGCACGCTTCTGTTCTGACAAGTGGTATCAGAGCCTTTGGTTGCGGTTTTGGGAATTTGGCGCTGGACTGAAATTTTGCTTTGTGGAGGTTGCTTTCAGTTCTTTAGCTTGGTTCGATGGAGGAATCGCTTTGAATTTGACTTTGGGTAGTTGTGCTTTGGTCTCGCTTGTTTGGTGAGAAGTTTGCTTGGAGTTTGTTTGATAGTAATAATGGATGCTATTAGTATGAAGATCGAAAAGTCAATTTGGTGTTGCAGGCTTGGAGTTAGCAGTAAATTTGATGTTGGTGTTATGCACGGAAATAACACCAAGTTGGTTCTGCATGGCAAGTTCCAACATGGGTTGGACTTGCTGCATGTTTTAATTTGTTAACCGCCCTTAGGGGCATTTGGAGGCAGGGGAGGTTCTGATACATTTGGAGATTTGGAGAGTTTGGTACTTCTGGCAATTTTTATTGCATTTGAGTTTGGCGATATACATCGCATTTGAGTCTGGTGATATGGATCACATTTGGATACGTCTGGCAATTTTGATTGCATCTGAGTTTGGCGATTTTGCATCGCGTTTGAGTTTGGCGGTTTCGATCGCATTGGGATACGTCTGGCGATATGTATAGCGTCTGGGTACATCTGGCAACTTTGGTTGCATCTGGTACATTTGGCAACTTGAGTTGCATCTGGTACATTTGGTATTTGAGAGAGAATTTAAGTCAAGGTGGAGATTGTTAGAATATGACTTGAATTTGATTTGGGCTTGTTTTGTGTTTTGGGCCTATTCTGTTTGGGTTTGGGATTGGGTTTTGTTTTGACCTTTTTCCTTGTATGTTTGGGAAAAGGTATTTGGTTTTCTGTTTGGGATTAGGAGAAGAGTTCTATAAATACTCTTCATCTCCCTAATCTGTAGTAAGGTCAGTCGGGTTAGTTTGTTTGGTTTGTCCGTTTGGAATTTGGTTTGTAACCTGTACTCTCCTCAAATTAGTGAAATTTGTTCCCCCCTGCCCGTGGATTAGCTAGCACACATTGTGTTAGTGAACCACGTTAAATTTGTGTTCGTTCGTGTTGGTTTGGATTATCGATTGCACGCTTCTGTTCTGACAAGATAATCGCTGAGGTGAGGACACGATGTTCGTGGTCCTTGGCTTGAGGGGAGGATTGTTATGGGACAATCCAAGTACCACATCGGTAATACAAGGGAAGGGACCCTTGTATATTAGTGTCCACCAAGCTCATTAGTACGAGG